TGTGTAAGAACAAGAGAAATGTTGTGTTCTACATGCTAACGAGTAAAGTTGCTTATTACAATTTACCAAGAGGTAAATAGTCAACTTTGATGAAATACATGTTGCAATGACGAAAATAAGCAGGTTGATGGCAACATCGACTTGCCAGAGCAACATTCTAGAAAAAGAAAAAAAAGTAATATTTGTCCGACTTGGTTAGAGTGCCATTCGTTGTGCTTTGTTGACCACATGATTGTAACCAACAAATTGTTACCTTTGTGAAGTTAATGTCGTTGCCTTTTTCTGGATCGGTCTACAGTAAAATATAAAGTTGTGCGAGCCGTTGTTTTTTTTTAAATAAAATGTCAATAACGAATATTACGCTAGATTTTACTCAATAGAGTGAAATGTTTTTTTTTTGGATAGTTAACTGCACTTTGAAAAAATAACATTTTGTTATTCGTATGCTGGTAGGCCACAGTTTTTCCTTATTGTGGTTGATTAAGTACATAATTAAAAGTAACTGTTGAACAGCGGATTTGTTGAGAGAATCTGAGGCAATGCATTTCGAATAGATAGACACTTTGATACCAAGACTTAGGGTAGTTGCAGATCAGGGAGAGCGCCGACTGTTTGGATAGAAAATCCTCGTAAGGGCCTGTATATGTTCTTTCGCCAAAGTAGAGAAGAATTTCGAAGAATCAAAAAAAGAATTGAATTTCTTCGTTTTCTTTTCTTCGATTAAGATATTTCGTTCGTTTCTAGAGCACGCTATACATGACAAGAAACTAGAGAAATCGGATTGATGTGATCATGGCTCCAATTCCAAGAACGACAAAATGTTAGAAGTCTGTATAAAAAAGTGGCTACAGATTTTAACATGAATCATCAAGCACAACAACGATCGTCATCGGTATTGATAGCAATAATTCGAGTACATTGAGTAAACGCTATTTAATTTTGATTGAACAAAAGCATGTATTATTGCATGACAAAACGTATAAAATACTGATAAAATAACTTAATTTATACTCAAATAAAAACAGAAATTTTTTTCTCTGAAACGTTTAATGAATTCTTCAAATGAAATTGCTTGTTTGAAAAGAGAAACCCTAAGAATATGGCAAAAATTTGTATCATTGGAACAACCAGATGTAGATCATACTGAAATCTTGTCACTTAGTTTTGTATACCATGGATAAATCTTCAAAAACAAAAAAAAATGATCGGTAATACAATAAGTATCTCTCATGTGATTCTCGTTTCACAAGTCACAGATGTTTCATCACAAAAGGTTCTAGATAACTACGGACAACTCATAAATAGTTTTTTTAGGGTAATACATGTCGACTCCACTGGTTACAATTTAAGAATATTTATTATTAGAATATTTTCTATGTCTGTTTGTATTTGGTGGTTTTGTTTTCGTTCTGATAACTCACTTGTAAGTTAGGATTTGCCTAAAAGGAAAGCTATCCATGACAAGACTCGATGTCAATAGAATTGTTAAAAAGAACTCAAATAAAAATTTTCATTTGGTTTTAACATACATGGAACTTTGTCGAGGAGAAAAGTGTGTACTTCTTAATCCAGCACTTATTTTTAACTAACAAAATTTATTTTCGAGTTGAATATTAGTATCCGATAAAAGACAGCGTATCGCATTTTACTTTGTATTCTATAAAACGTCTAGGAAACAAATAAAATATGGTTCTAGAAAAGCAAAGTCAAACAAACATTACAAACCCAAATATGTGCGAGAAGAAACACAGCTACAGCAAATACCTCATGTCTGCTTCAATTTTGAAGGGAAATCTCTATTTGGTTCTTTAATATTTAACATCGTTTTAGAAACTTTTCTCGAGAGATTTCATGTTTATGATGAAAGACACTTCATTTCGTGCTTTTGTTTTACTACAATTAATCAATTTATTTCCTCCACGTTTTGCACGAATTCATGAAAATTCATTAGATTGTAATATCTCTTCAGGCATATTACATTAAACAAATGATAGTTATACTTTCTATCAAAGCGAACAGAACACCATTTGATTGATTGTGCTTCTTCTTTTTTTTTTATTTATATATCAACAATGATACCTCATCATTCGCCTAACATACAGTTACCAATCAAAAATTAAATTCTCATCGACAGACAAAAGAAAGTTATAAAGATACATATTCTATGACTAAGTCAATCAGCGAATCGAATCATCCATTTTCTGTTTCAACTATGCACCCCATTAATTGTCCTGAAGAGTACCGCCATCTGTTATTCACTTTTCACTGTTAAAGAGTTTTACCCAATGAAAAACCCCTCACCCATAATATACATATTTTTTTCTCTTTTTCAGAAACTTGATTTCATCTATATTTCGTACCATCTTATTCTGCACATTGGAAACAAATAACATATAGTGATTACAACGCACTTGTAGCAAAATGATATTCGTACTTTTTCATACGGATATCAATCATCACTACTTCACATAACAAGGAAAAGATGAAATGATACTTTAATTCATTTTTTTATTATGAAAAAATGTTCCCATTTCCCGAAGGAAACGGGAGTGGACCGAACTCGACGGCACTGCAGTGTCGAGACGATCCGTGGCACGGGTCCGAGTGAACTCGGGTGATCCCGGCCGATGTCCAAAAATCCGCTTGAAAGAGCCTGGCCCCAATGGGACCAGCGCCGGCTTTCAAACCGACGAGAACAGATACTACACTTTGATCTTAGCCGAAAAGGCCGAGAAGCGATAACTATTCAATTAGAAATGAGATCTCCACATTGATGTTGTCCTTACACATTGCGCAGTGCACAGAATGAGAAAAAAGGTATGTGTAAAGACAACACAGATGTCGCGCTCTACAAAGCTATGAGAAGAATTGCTTATTACAACTTACCAAGAGGTAAATGATCAACTCTGATCAAATACATGTTGCGATGACGAAAACGTGCGGATTGGTGGCAACACTAATCTGCCAGAGCAACGCTTTTCTATAATTGTAAAGAAAAAAATCAGTTTCTGCAATGCTTTGGTGTAATACGTATCTAATCCACGTTTCTTTCCGGGCATTTAGTTTCATGTAGGAAGTACAGAAACAATCGATTTATTTTGTACGTACAGCTCAATGTTTTTAGTCAAATCTGTAGATGATCGGACTTTGTTTTCTTTGCTAGAAAGAATAATAATGATGAAACAAATAACTGAGATTTTATTTTTTCTTGATAAATCTTCAGTAAAGAAACTATTTTTAAAACAGTTCGTGCATATTTTACTTTCTGTGATAGATTAGGAAGTCGTCGATGGTACAATTTGTTTTGTAGATTGTTCTTCTTTATGTTTGTTGATTTTCTTTGGTTGTAAATAATAGATTAACTTTTTCGTTCGGTAATTCTGTTATGACATGTATGAATAATAAATGTGAAGAGTATCTTGAAAAACAAATGAATTTATAAAAGCTGTTACATTCTTGAAGATTAAGACCTATTTTCGGTCGTAAAATACTACCAAGTCGTTGTGGTTCTTGCTCCATGACTTAATATTTGTATTAATACATTAGCATCAAGTAATTCAAATGATGTATGAGCAAATTTTGAAACAAAAATTGTTTCTTTATTTGGATGATGTTGAAAATCATATAAAATTTGCATAAGTTTTCGATGGAAAGATATGATCAGAGAAAATGATTATTTTTATCATCACATTTTTCATGATAATGTATTAAAAATGGACAGGTACGAAATTTATTTGAATTCATGATACGCAAAAGCAAACGTTGATGTTGATCATCTTTAGTTGATTGATATTCTTGAAAAAATTCTGTTGTCATTTGACATCATACTTCTCCAAATTTGACATTAGCAATATGACCTACTAGTTAAAAAATTTAAGTCAGCTATTTTATTATCTTCTCTAACGATTGTTTATGTAAGACCTAATTTTGTATCAACATGTGCAATAGTGAAAGTTGTACGAAATTTTTCAGCTGCTATTGTATGAACTTCATCTAGAATCATTAAACCCTATAAACGTTCTTTGAGTGATTTTATTTCATTTGTTATTTTATCATTAGATTGTTCAATACGTGTAATCATTGAATAAACACCAATACATATGCATGAATCATTTAATTTATCTTTATTACTTGATGTAAATAATTGTTGTTTTCATTGTTGAACAGATACATTTGAATTTATATCAATATTAATCTTTCTTGTTATTAATCGACATTCTTGAATTTGTGAATCATGTAGAAGATTTTTTAAAATATCATGACAAGCACTTTCAACAAAATATTGATTATGTTTTAATACTAATTTGACTTTTCCATAAGTTAATGTACATAATTTAATAAATTCAATGATCATATTAGATATTATTATACTACTAAGTTGTTGTAAAGTGTCAATAATATCATTGGTTTGTAAGCCAAATAGATACAGCAGCATACAGTGAATAAGCTGATAATCTATAGGTCGACCAACAGGTTCAACTATAGTTATTAAAAAACTATGAGCTTGTTTATAAACAGTTGAAAATGATTGAAAAAATATGACCATCTGGCGTAACCCATAATGGACGTTTTTTGTGATCAACTATTGATTTCATATCTCAACGAATATCTTTCAAAGTTTGACTAGTTGTTTTTATTTTATATGACTGATCGAAATCATCATCTGCACCGTGAAGTGAATCATCTAAACGCCAAGATGCAGCTAATGAAATAAATATTCCTTGATCTCCTTGTATAGCATGATTGTTTCTGTTACAATGTCTACTTTTTAATAATTTCAATAACCTTCCACATGGTTTTTTCGATGAAACTCGTTTACTCATCTTTAATACCGACATCTATGCTGTCTCTATATATAGTAAGCAATCAAACACAACAACAGAATTGCAAAATGTAAAGACAAACTACGTATTTTAATTTGTACACCTTGTCAAAAAGTTGCTTATTACAACTTATCAAGAGGTAAATGATCAATGCTGATCGAATACATGTTGCAATGACGAAATTGTGCGGCTTGATGGCGCCAACTATCCTCCGAGAGCAACTTTTTCTTTTCGCAAAATAAATACAAATTGTAAAGGCATGAAGTGTATTTCGCACATAAACGTAATCAATAAATGTCGTATTTGCGTTTTTTTTTGGTTTTGTTCGAGATTATTTCGTAGTTAATGTAAATATTATATGTATAAAAGAAATGAGTAAAATACTTTTGAAGTAGAGCATTAGATGTTATTTGACAGTCGACACTTATTGACTGGCTGTTTTTTTTTCTGGTAGATTTGATTGCATGTTGTCTGAGTAGGATATGAAAAGAAAACATATTCGTAGTGAAGTGTGTTTATTACTTATAAGAGTGTTAATTTTGGCGGATTTAGTCGTGTGATCATGGTGAATACTACATAGTCAAACATTTATCTCGGAAAAATACAATGACAGCTTATTAGTGGTGGGAAATTCTATCTGTTTTATGCATCAATAAATATCGTCATGTGTCTTTGTACAATGAGTAAATCATAGATGTGTTAGACTCTAGTAGGTTTCAATGAATATAAGTGTCAATCGACAGATATGAATGATTATTTGATGTGATGAATTACTCTTGGCTAGATTGTAAGTTCACTTGACTAGAATTCAAATCGTATTCATTAGCTTTTTTTCTTTTTTTGTTATACGTCATGAAAACCATGTAAGAATCTGTTAGATAACAAATTGAATGATTGAGATTATATATAAATGAACATGAATTTATGTTATTTCTCTCTAATAGATTACATAAGAAAGGAACTCATATAACAGAATCCTGAGCATGGCATCGTTCGAGTTCTAATTAATGTGACAGTCTTGGGTTCAAAAGTCATGCAACAAATGTTTCTCTATTTTTTTTTCATGAAGCAGACGACATTACTATTGAATCATATTTAGAAAGTCTTACAAGAACAATATGTTATAAAGTAGGTCTAAATTTTTATTCTGCTATCAACGTGATAATATTTATATAGAAACATAAGTGATGAAATGAAAAGAAGAAAACAAATAAAAAACTTTCAATTGTTATCATTATACTTCCGCCGTTATTAATATTGTCAATTAACAACCATGATTTTCTCAATTGCATAAAGATTGTTTTGAATACACTCATTAATATATATACCTACATTTATATTATTTGTGTGAAACGATAGTATAACTATACATAGTTATTTAACAAGGTGGTATATAATGCAGAAAAATATGTGTAAAAATATTTATTTTTAACATCTTATACTACTCAAATAGGTCGATTAAATCTATGCTTGCATTGGTTCTAAATAAATATGTACAATCAAAATAAAAATATTTCATTCAAAAAATCTAGATATATCAAATTATACGTTTATGTTCTTTCATAGAAATCATGACTTAATCTAACATGAACATTTAGAATATACAAAATAAAGAGAAAAAGAACAATTCATTTTTCTTTTCTCAATAGTTATTCAATAGACTTGAAAGTGAATCTATATGATTGAAGAGTACGCACATATGTTTTATTATTGTAATTTGACCACTGCATGGTGTATGTCCAAAAAACAAAAAGGGCGTCGATTATCGATGTTTGTTCATTTCATTCATATGATATCGACATATATGCACAGTTGGCGTCAATATCAAATCGACACATGCTGTTCAACTTGCCTTGCAAGTACACGCATATGATTCAAATTATCGAGTTTTTATCACTATTAAAATAAGCAATAATGCATATATGATATGACCTTAAGCAGTACTATATAAAGGTAAACGAAAAAAACAAGATTTATTTATCAATTCAATGTCATTACCATACACTTGACCGTTTATCATATAGTCAAAAGAATACAAAGAAAAAAAAAACAAAAGAACATACACATTCATATTTATCCTAGTGCATAGCAAACGAAATAAAATATTGAAAACATCACGTTGGATTATATATATGCACATCCTTTTGACACGGATTTTATATCCACACATACACACGTATATATCAGGTCACTTCTTATATTTGAATGTCAAACTTAGAGGTCTACGGGACAGTCCCGAATCCAGAAAAATCCCGAATGTCCCGTCCCGTGGGACATTCGGGATTGTCCCGAAAAATTTTCGGGACGGGACAAACGGGACTCGGGACAATTTGAAAAGAACGAATGTCCCGAATTTTTCTTTTCTATTTCAAAATATCTCGTTCACTTAGATTTTTATTTTAAAGAAATATCTTGATATTTAAATAAATAACAGAAAAGGAAACCCAAAAAATATTGCAAGATATATTTAAATCTGTTCATCATTATCATCTTCGTCAATTGTTTCTTAATTTTCTTGATTTTCTGTTGTTAATTTGACCTTTTTAGTTGATGGTGTTGAATCAGTTGAAGTTAAATTAATTTTTCTTTTGTTGGACAGGTCAACAACTGGAGCATAAATTTCTTTTAATGTTCGTATATTTCGTTTAATAAACAAAAGATTATTAATTTTATCTACATCTAAACGTGTTCGTCGATCAGTTATTGTATTACCACTATCTGAGAATAGGCGTTCCACAGAAGTATTACTAGCTGGTATTGCTAAAATTTTCTTAGCTACTCGAGCTAAATTAGGATATATCGATTTATTAGCATCCCAATATTGTAAAAGATTCATGTTATTTTCAATTTTTGTTTCATCAGCTAAATATTGATCAGTTCTGTTTTTTCAATTGGTTGTTGTTGTATATTCTCTTCATCATCACCAGGTACATCGAATATTTCATCTAATGAATTAATTGAATGAATATTTCTTCTCACTTTATTTTTATCTTTATTATTTGTCATTGGTGATTGAATTGATTGTTTTGCAGCAGTATCCATTAATTTATCAAGTTCCACTTTTAATAATTCAATTGCATGTTCTTTTTTACCTGGTGCAAGTTTAAAGCTCTTTAAATTCGGATGCAACAACATTGCAATAAAATGTATATCATATATAATCCAATATTCTTTTAAATATTTTGACATATAACGTTTTAACTGTATTAAATCTTGATAATCATCATCATTTCTGTTTGATCGGTTTAATAACAATTGTTTATAAGGAATAACCAGGTGGATTGTTGGTGATTGATCACAACTAAGTTTTTCAATGACATCGTGAAAAGATTTTAAATATGCAGTTAATTGTTCTAATTCACTATAATTAATTAACAAATAATTTTGTCTTTGATCACTATTTAAAACAGATGGTAATTCATTATAGACCCAAAGAAAGCTATTGAACATTATGTAAACACTGCTAAAACGAGTTTTACAATAAGCTTGAACATAAACTGATAAAGATGATTGTTTATGTGTTTGTCAAATATAAGTAATAATATCACGAACAATTGTAAATAAGACTTGAACACCAGCACAAAGAGCATCTTGTAATTCAAATGCATGTTGAATAACTTTGTTAATGTAGTGAGAACTACAGCCTATTCTTGTTGTACCTTCTTTGAATGCACAAACCATTTTGGGCTCATTGTCAGACACTATGAAAGTATCTTCAGTAATTTTAAGACCAAATTCAGCTGCTATTCCATTCACAAAATCTCGAATATTGCAAGCTTTCTGATTTGGTAAATCGTATAATTTACACGCTAAAATAAACATTTGTAGATTGTAATTAACATCAACAAAATGTAAGCTAATTCCACCATAGTGCACTCCTATACAAAAAAAAAACAAAATAAAATTTTTAAACGCTGAACGTAGTTGCAATTACAATGTTCTAGTCGTAAGAAACTAATAAATCCTGCCTTGAAAATATATTTATCAATCAAATATTTGAATATCAATTTTGAATACCAATAACTTCGAAAATATTTTTAGAAATGAATATAAGTACCATAAAAATATTTTCAAATCTATGGTTTATTTTATAATTCTCAAATCTTAAAATTGTAGACTTATTTACTCGCATATTTACCTTGTACGCATGAATTATTTTATTTTTTTTCAAAATCTATAGCTTTAAGATGATAATTCTAATAGATTCCTTCTATCAAATACATGAGCATATGTACCTGTAAGACTCTCTGTCCAAAAATCACAAGTAAGAGTAAAATGTTGAACATTTTCACATAAAACAACAAGTTGTCCTTTAAGTTTATTATAAATTCGAATTACATTACGAGAAACCTATGAAAGAAAGATGAATATAGCTTAGATAGAAAGTTTAATATTTACAGTAGTTGGATGTGGTAATATATCATTGATAGAAAATCCAGTTCCAATAAGTGCACCAGCATTCATAAGCTGCTTTGTCAAATTAACAAAACCTTCACCAGCCACGATATCAAATGGTTTGTTATCAAGTGCACAAAACTCAGCACATGCTTCAACTATACGTTCTTTAATTGTTGCATAATTATCTTCAGCTGGTGGTAAATAAGAAGATATTGTACGTTGACGTGAAGGTGTTGTTGATATTTTTGGTGTGAATTTTTTCCCACAATTGTGGTTCTTCATCACTTTTGTACCTGTTTCACTAGTCCATTTTAATACAACACGACATTCATGACAAACGACGTAATTTTGTGCAATATTTAAATGATATAATTGAGAGAAATTGGACCATAATTCAGAACGTGCATTGGATGGTTTTATTAATGTAATTGATGAATCATTCATTGTTACTAAGTTCTGGTAATGTTGTTTAAGAAATGGTTCTTTTGGAATAGTTGAAGACATTCTTATTATAAGAAAAAAGGCACAAAAATGTGTTTACAAAAGACAAGGAATTTTAAACAATTCTCAATTGATTGTCCTTTATTCTCCAAACTATTCTCTGATACGCTTATTCATCTGCCAATCATCTGCGTGTATACATTTTTTCCTAATGGCGACAGAGAAATGCATTGTCTTGTTCAATAGAATGACATCTTTATATTTCTTTCGTTCAACGGGACAAACGGGACAAACGGGATGTTCCGGGACAATTCAAAAATAATTCGGGACGGGACATTCGGGACCGGGACATTTTGAAAAACTCCGGGACAGGACAAACGGGATTCGGGATCACTCAAAAATTTTCGGGACGGGACATTCGGGATTCGGGACACGAAAAAGTTTGTCCCGCAGATCTCTAGTCAAACTACTTGACCTATGATAATGACAATATAGAAAAATAACACCTCTATTTTGAAAAGATCTTCATTAGACAAGATTGATCACGATATTTATTTTAATAAACAATTAGAGATTAATCATTTCGCATTCATATCCCCACTTCAAACTGTCTGCATTAACTTGTAAAAGTGTTCAGACTTTTCATTCTAATATCAGATAAACATATTATCCAGAAAAGTCTCCAACTGTGACATTTTTTGATGAATAAAAACATTGAAGAGGAAGAAAGAAGAAAAAATGCTGCATTGTCTCTGTAAATAGCTCGGTAATGTTTTATATGGCATGTAACGCTTGCATGTATAGTGGATACAGCTATAGAAAATGCAGCAGTGATGCAGTTCAAAATCATTTTTCGAATGTCCATAATTGAAAAACACTGGTCAAAAATTATAACTATCAATCGTTTTCACTCGATCAACTCACATCTTTTCTCTTTCGCGAATAACCTTTGATCGAAATAATAAAGACACTTACAGTTTGTAGCATTCGAAAGAGAAATTTCTGAACTACAATAAGATATCAATTTTGATTGCTCAAGTATATAGTCAAACAATGTCCTTTTTTAGTGTAAAGTTCATGAACGCTTTTCTAAATACATGTTTTATTCGACTGTGACGTGTGTTCAGATCATTTAATAGAGAAAAACTTTTCGTTGGGATCAAGGCAACACTAAATCTGCTAGTTTTTTTCATTCAGGAGTTATGAGTATTTTACGCATAGCCGTAAGATCCATCAAATCATCTTCAATAGCTTTAAAATACGGTGTTGAAAAGAATTCTCAGCATTTTTTTAATCGATATATTTTTGCAGTTATTTAAGTGATGACAATAAATAAATAGTGATTTTAACGAGTATTTTAAAGTATACTTATTGAGTATAAATAACAACAAAGACGTTATAAACTATCATAGAGTCCATCCCTAGTACCATGGCGGTTTCTTATTTTCTGATTACATTGCAAGATTTTAATCTGCTTTATTTGCTCATCTCTTTTCTATCCATTTTTACCCTGAACCTGTTGTTCAAAAGACTTTTATTTCACTTTTCTTCATACTAGTCTCACTGTATGATTAGATCTACTCAA